TTGCTGCTTATTCATACAGCTGCCTGACTTCTCCTAACAGGTTGGAAAGAACAATTTCAGGCCTCCTCCCAAAGTGGAATCCAGTGTTGTCAGAATAGAGCCAAAGAACCCACCACCACCTGTCAACTTCCAGGTGAGCATGTACAACAACATAGGATACTAGTGGTAATACTTAATTTCACTTTTCACTTACTACTCAGTTCCATGTGCTTTTTTACTATTAACTGCCAGCTACTCACTGGCATTTACATAATTCCAAAATACTTCTCTCTTGATCAAGCTTGCGTTAGGACCTTACATGAACGTGCCATCATCAGTTCGGGTCCAGCTTTATTTACACTATTTCTGACAAGACTGAGGTGCCGTCTCCATGTCAGTTGGAGAGTTGCTAGTAATAATGCCCCTTTCGTGGTGGTTCTATCTCCCAGAGACCCTTCAGGCTGATGATTTTATTGGCTACGATCACAGCGGTATCTGTGAGAAGGCTTATCTTCAGATGAGTGTGTACAGGATAGTATTCTTAAAATTACACTGAATGCTCCATGACTGGAAGTGTTCAAGACCAGGTTGGACAGGGCATGAGCAAACTGGTCTAGTGTCCCTAGGTGTCCCTGCCCATAGCAAGGAGGTTGGAACTAGATGATCTTAAGGTCCTTTCCAACCCAAACCATTCTATGATTCTATGAAAATGCTTTGATCTTAAGGACCATTTCAGTCTTCCCCAGGGTGAGCCAGATAGTCTTCAATTGCATTTCTTTTCAGCACAAGAACAATTTCAAGGTTTTCAAGAACAGTTCAAAGGTTTTTGTGGGTGAAGAATTTTGTCTTCCATTTCTGTTGTTTTGTCCAAATCAGGACTGGTTTTGTATTGTTTAGAAAGATATTTTCCAGGAAACTTTTAATGTGTTCAATATTACTGTTCTGAAGTTCTCAGTAGTGACTTGTCTTGTTTGTAGTAGCTGCATGTTCCTCTCTGTAAATTCTGATATTTTTAATTTCAGGAGTGGGATGGTCTGGTAAGAATAGCGTTTGTTAGAAAAAACAAGACACTCTCCGCAGCATTTAAGTAAGTAACTTGGGCCTGCAAGGATTCTGGAGAGGGATTCCTTCTTAGAAACTGTAGTGATAAGACAAGGGGTAGTGGGTTCAAACTTAAACAGGGGAAGTTCAGGTTAGATATAAGGAAGAAGTTCTTTAGAGTGAGGGTGGTGAGGCACTGGAATAGGTTGCCCAAAGAAGTGGTAAATGCTCCACCCGTGGTGGGGTTCAAGGCCAGGTTTGTCTAGTGTGAGGCGTCCCTGCCCATGGCAGGGCAGTTGAAACTGCATGATCTTAAGGTGCTTTCCAACCCACACCATGCTATGATTCTGTGATTCTATAACTTCTGCTAAAGGACATCTTTTCAAAGTTTGAAAGCCCGTTCAGCTAACCATTTCTCTGGTGCAAATGCACAGCAGTGTTACATTCATGCCAGCACAGTCTGGGATAAACCATGATGGAGGATTTATGCCAAGGTCACAAGTTGTTTTAGTAAAAAACTAGGCAGCTGTTCAAAAAGAACAGCTCTATGTAGGTGTTACAGTTTTTGATAGTAAAGATTAACAATGAATCAAGTCAAGAAACCTAGTTAAAGCTCAATTTTTATTCTTTTTGCATTCCTTTCAGGTCAAGTGCTGTAGAGCAGTTACTGGATCATAATTACCGAATTCATTGTTCCTTACATAATACAGTAAGCTCCTTTCTAATATATTGAATTCTATTTCTGTGTATTGTGTCCTACATACTGACTTTTAGAAGAGTAAAAAGTTAACATTGAAAAGCTGCTTTAGCGTGTTAAAGTTTTTCTGAGAGAGTTTGAGGGAGGAGAAACTTGCCTTAAAGAAAAATCTAAAAGGGTCATTAAATCAGTGTGAAAGAGCTGAAAGCTGAGTGTGTTACTAATATATTGGCTGTACATACCTCAAGGACTTCTACTAATCTAGTAAGAATCTAATGAGAAAACTTTCTGTGTATGCTTAGCAGTACTATTGATTCATTTATAGTGAGTAAGCTGGGGTATAAAAATCCAGATATAAGAATACAGAAGTCCAAACAAGAAAAAAAATCCCCGACATACCTACTTGAAACAAGAACCATTCTAAAAGCAGGAAAAGAATAATTATTTAAATGACCCTTTTCTGTGCTATGAATAGAAAATTAATTTATATCCTATTTTTCATTGACAGGAAATACCTGAAAACTTCAAAATTGCAGAGAAAATACAGGCAGTCCTAGAAAATACAGGTTACTCTGAGAAACGAGCCCGTTCAATGGATATAGATGATTTTATTAGGTATTCTTTTTTCCTTTATGCCTTCCTTTTAAGCTTCTTGAAATTCTATCTGTGCCTGTGTAGCACAGATTATTATTGGGTCACAGAGTAATAGTACTGTTTTCCTCTCAATACCAGACACTCCTTGCTTCCAGTCCTGAGTGTGAACACTTAAAACCCTACGTATATTTTGGCTGCTGCTTACGTTGTTGAGAATCAACTAGCCAAAGATCCCTATTTCAGGTGTTTGTGTACTAGACCCTTTAGCCTCCTCTAAAAATGGCTTTAATAATGGAATTGATTATTGTAATATCCCTGGAGACTTCCGCAGCCCTCCTCCCTGTTGAGGATTAGGCCGTAGTCTATAGCATAACTTCGAAATCTGTGTAATTAACTGCTATATTCTGCTCTTACGTCTGGTCAGTTAATTTAAGTGGCAACATAAATCCTCTTTCACAGTGTGACAGTTAATACAGCTACCACTCTTTAAAGAAATGTAGTAACTTGCTAGGCTGCAGTATAACTAACTGCACTAACGCCTACATTTCCAAAATGGTGAATTTGCTAATAACATCTAGTTTAAGATTTTGTAATAATTCTTTTTTGCAGTTGAACAGTGGCTGCTTTCATGCTATTTTTATATATTATTCACCATCCAGCACCTCTTAGAAATGCCTTAAGCTGAAATATAAATTAGTGGAAATTGTAACATAAATCTTTCACTCTTTCAGCTTGCTACATGGCTTCAATGCAGAAGGCATCCATTTCTCATAGATTCTACTTGAAGAATGAAAGATCTTCTGTATTTTGTCACCACAGACTTATCTAAACCAGAGTGACTACAGTGTACATGTACATTCTGGTTCTTAAAACTTTACATGCAGTTTTATCCCAGAGAGTAGGGAAGAAGCTGCTGCTTTCTATTTTAAGAGAGAAATTCTTCACAGCTGAAGTGAGGTGCTGGAATCCCATATGACTGTATATTTTTAAATGTACCAAATAACATGGATGGATGCTGCCGTGATTGAAATTTGTGTTCTCTGATCATGGACTTGAGTTTGCCTCAGTAAATTCTTGCACAGTACTCAAAAGTACAACCCTAAGTCTAGCCTGGGCAACAAACACAGTTGTAGTCATTCCATCTGTTTGGGATTTATTTTTTTTTTATTGTGTTTTTTCAAAGTATATTTAAACATTATTTTAATTTGAAATGCCGGCCTCTTTCATGTGTTCTCTGGTATCTGCCCCCATTCCAGTTCTGCTAGCAGTCAGCTTTTCTTGGAGAAATCCCGGTAACACTTTCTCAGGAACAAGAGCATTTATCTTGCCAGCTCAGTATCAGTTACAAAAACACTACAGAGATACCTGATAGTACCAGTGTCATCTCCTTATGCCATCTTTATTGCCCTCAAACCACAGCAGGAACCAGCAGAAAGCTACCAAAGGGCTAGTCTCATAAGCATAGACAGAAAGGTTATTTTTGCCAACTGTAAATTCAGGCAGCTGTTTTTATAAGAAAAATACTTCACCCATCAAAGGAGGGAAAGGTTTTAGCATAGATCAAAGCTTTCAGTGAGTCTTACAGGAATGCATGCCTGTGTCCTGACAGAAAGACTCAGAAGTGCCTTAATAGCGTTTGGATTATTATGTATTTGTTGTTAAGGACAAGGCAATTTTCTCAAGGAGTTTTGTATTAACTGTAGCACCTCTCAAATGAAAAATCCACTTTGGTCTGTCTTACAGGAAAAAGTAACTTTTCACTCTGCAGCATCATGCAGGGGTGAAGGCACGGCTCAATGTATTAGCTACCATAAGTAATTTTTTTCACGTGTTTTATACCTCTTTCAATACAACCACAGTAAGTGGAGGGAGAAGAGGCAAGTTAGCAAAAACTCTTCAAAGATGTAATGTCATTTTATACACATCCAGTGTCAATTCTTACAAGTCATTGATTCAGAAGCATGTACAGAAGCAGGCACATCAATCTGCAAGCATCCCAAGAGGTTGTTTTGAAAAACCAGATTGCTCATTTATTTTTTAATTTAATGATTCTAGTGCTGGTTCACTGCGTAGAGAACCAATGTATGGGTGAGGTAAGTAGCAACAGCAGTGCAGTCAGATTAATACAGAAGGAGCAAGTGCTGGAGATCTGTGTCGCTTGGTAGGAAGCTGCTAAAATGTAACTGCATCTGTCATTCCTGTCCCCTTTGGCACCTGCTGTAAACCACAGCTTGGTTGTGGCTCTAGGCTTGCATGGAGGAGTGGTAGGGAATCTACTATTTCTGATACAGAGTGTCTTGATCATTAGAGGCATTTTATAAAGTAAATTCTGCTGGAGAAGTCTTCAAAGAAGCCCTCTGGTATTGTACGATAACCTGTACTATACTATCACCTGCTACGAAAACCTGCTGCCTTCTATTTCACTGGTTTTTCTTACAACTATGAAGGAGGATGTTCCTATATGCTCAGAAAGACACATGATGTTTAAGACCTGCTGCAAAACTTCCAGGACAGCATTCTGGGCAACTTCTTCATGTATGACAAATCTGTATGAAGAGCTGGCTCTTGAAGTAAATACTCATTCTGCAATCAGAGGCCTTTTGTTCAAAAGTGTAACTCTGATGCAGTTACAAAGTGAAATCCTTCTCAAAGCACAACAGAATTTCCACAGAAGTAAACTCACACAGAATTCATTTAATAGCTTAATTTTATTAAACACATTATGTAAAATCTACATTGTTTCAGTTCATGTTTACACACAGATAGATTTTTTTTTTTATTTTTTTTTTTTTTAACCATGATGCGACAAGAGCTTCCCATAGCCTAGCATTCTATGGGAGATAGAAACATTGAACACTACAAGAATTCCTGGCTTATTAACAATCTTTTCAATTGCCTTCCTTTTATCCCCTGCCAGGACTGGCACAAACAAACAGGCTTATATTCCAAAAGTATTTTTTAAACAATTCCAAGGGAAAGTCTGCTAATACAAACTCCTGGAAACTGGGAGAACTCCTAGAGAGGTCTACAAGTCTTCATTTGACAAGAAGTTCTTACATGAAAGGTCAGCTTTTTTTGGATACTGACTTGCAAAACTAACTTGAGTGCCACCACCTAAGAAGTGCTGATACACATGGCGCCATTGGTAAGAATTCAGGGTACTTGATTTCTATTAGCGCCAGGTTAAGAGGTATTGTGCAAAATCCCCAAAAGATGCAAGTTCAACCCACTTTTCAGCTGCTGGCACTGTACAAAGGGAAAAATAGGTATTAGCTACATTTATTTTTAAAGCAACAGAGCTACTCAAACTACCTGCAAACTACGGTTAATGAACATGTAAGTGTGTCATGCATTAAAAGCCAAATTTTAACAGTATGTGAAAGGCCAATGTGTACTCATTTAGCTGGATCCCTGAACTTTGACAGTTATCCATATGCAGAGGTCAGATTGTACCTTTACTCTGACAACATTACCACATACCATAACACATACTGTATATGTGCATTACCCAAAGATACAACTCTCCTTAGTACTTAAACATTACCCTTTATTATACATCAACTAATTTTTATTTTTGTGGTTTTTTTTGATCAGTTTTTTGTGTTTTTTTCTTTTTAATTACAGAATGAAATGTGAGAATTATATCACCATTATTTATGGTACTCAAATAAATCTAAATTCCATATTTTTACAAGGAGGATGGAATGTCCAGCTGTTTGTACACCCTTAACAGCTATTGCAGTTCCTGTTCAAATGATATGGCACATCCTGTGAAATGAATCTAGCCACCAAAAAAAGTCTCAAAACACATTAAAAATGCACGCGCACTGGAAGTAATTTATATTGACAAATAAGGAATGTTATCATTAAGGCTGTGCTTCAGGAAGGTGATGCTGAGGGTTAAGTAGCCTTCATCAAGGCACAGAATGGGAAGAATTAAAGCACAGCTGTCTGTAGAGGAGGAGTTACATACAACCACTAGTGAGGTGTGCATGCACGCAAACACAATTTAAAACTGCACAGCTGGTCTTTGTAACAAAACTGAACATAGCCAAAAAGAAACTGTGGCTTTTTAATGGCCACAGCTTTACTTCATTGTTAAAAAATGGCAAATATTTCCAAACCAAAACCTCACGATTTGAGTAAGTGAAATATTTTAAACAAAGTGCTTCACAGATCTGAACCCTGCATGGTTGTGCTGTCTGGTCTAGAAGCATTTTGTAGACATCATAGGAGCGTTTCACACCAAACTTAAAAATGTCATTCAGGTGAATAAGAAACAGGACATTTCCACAGACATTTCTAATGTTTTTACACTTTCAAGTAGTTGAGTTCTTACAGCCACTGGGTTTTGTAACAAATGTGTGCTACAGCAGTACAGGTTCATGGACTCCTTTAGCAGCAAAGAACTGTTTCAAAGGGCACGTGGTTTTTTCAGGCTGATCTGCTTACTGGCCTGTTCCTCCTCTTGCAGAGCTGCCCGGAAAGATTTCACTTTGTCTTTAATGAAAAAGAGAGAATAAATACTGATGTGCCCCTGCTCAACACAGATCTCAAAATTAAGCCCTGATGCTGCACATCCCAGCCCAGTGCACAACAAAGAACATCCCTCCACAAAAATAGCTGGCACTACAAACTACAAAAGGATTGAGACAAGCTTAAATTCAATACTCACCATACAAACAAGTTGCAGAGCAACTCAGTCCCTTCTTAGATGCTACCCCCTGTCTCTAGGCAGGGTAGATCTAGGAACTGCATAATGCATTCCCAGCATGTAACCTGTTCACACTTAAATTCTGCTTCTAACTCAGAGTATAAGGAGATGCACACCACACAAATCCTTTTCCTTCTCAGCAGCTTCCAAACTATCCTTAGAGGCATACAAAATTGTAATAAGTGTACAATCAGTCATTTCTGTACATTCTAAAACCCAGCAGGGTAAACTCCCCCATTTTTCTATGAATGTGAAAAGCATGTGTGATCAAATTTTGGAAGTTATTCACTATAAACAGTGAAATGCATCTTTCATTAGTTTCATCATAACAACAATGGGAAAAACCTAGGAAAGTTAGTGTGGCATATTTTCATACTTCTATTTCAGAGTAAAAACTATGGTTTTATCTTACGAGAAGTTTCCTAACAGACCAAAACCACCCCAACTTCATCGCTCAACCCCCAACCCTACCCTTAAACTTCTACCAGTACAGCCTGACTGCTGGAGACCAGTTACAGAAACTAAATTGAAAGATCCATCTCCATAAGGTGTACCAAGCCAACAAACTGATTTTAGAAGAGAAGTGGAAGAGTCAATTTTGGGCTCTAAGAAGTATCTCCAGTTTGTTTTTCAACAAAGAGAGATTGACATAATTCAGACAGAAGGGCTTCTGAAGAAAAAGTAAGCTAACCACCAAGCTACTGAGAGCTCGATGCTGTTCTTAAGCAGAATCTTCAAAATGAGAGCTTTGTCCCGGTTACACTACATAATGCAACAGAGCAGGAACTGCAAGTCCCTACTACTTCTTCCTCACTGCATCACCTTTTTTTTCATACAGTCCATTTGGATATTCTTTTTCTCTCCATTACTGTTTTGGGGCAAAGGGGAAAAAAAAAAAGGGGGGGGGGGCAAAAGTTACAGGATTGAGTTTATACTTCCTGGAGGTAAAGCACAGATTTTTCCTTAAAACTAGGATAAGCACTTACACAAACATGTTCATAGGCAGAACAATAAATGCTCCTTCTACAAGACACTGCAGGGTAACAGAAGGGGGAATAAAGACCCTAAAACATAACCAAATATTTTTATCCTCATTATTACTACAAGTCTCCATGGCATATGAAAACACATAGCTAATAATGCACACCAAAGTGATGAAAAGCAATCTACCTCTAAGTTCGGTCAGAATTTCAATTTTTTGATCTAGAATTACTTCAAGTTGGGTAGCATAAGAATCCACATCATAGTCTACTTCTTCTGTCATCTCAAGAAGAGCTTTCTCATCCTCCAGCCATCTAAGAGATTCCTAGGCAGAAGTTAAAACAAATAAAACAAAACAGCTAAATACATAAGCAAAGTTTACAGACAAGTTTCAAGACAAAGAGCTGAATAAGACCTTTTCTCAGGACAATCACATTTTCACTGTCTAGCCACCTTAATATAACAGATCTCAAAATGAAATCTTATTCTCAACTAAGCAAAATTGAAACCTTACTGCTAATTCAACAAAATCGTAAGTGTTCTATATTCTTTCTTCATTCCAGTGATCATACCAGCAAGAGGTAAACCCCGGCTACTCCAGTTCTCTTCAAATTCAGAACATAAAGTGGTTGTAAAGCTAAGAAACTCAGAACTTTACACCACAGTTATGTCCCCTTAGGCAGGTATCTAACTTTGAAGCTGGGCTTAAATTTTACATATAGGCTGGCTGCCACTGATTATAATTATACTGTCCTTACTAAAGTCAAGGAGCCAAGACAATTCCACCCATAACTGAATTCAGTTTTGAGAGAAGCTGTGAGAAAGAACTATTTTAAACTCACTTGGTAGGAGACTTGCCAGAACTGGTCAAGGAGGCTTTAAACTAGGTGTGTTGGTGGAGGGGGGCATCATTCCATCCCAACACATCCAGTCAGTTGCCAGCACCTATAATAAATGCTCAGAGCAATGTAGAGATTTCCAGCCGCTCCAGCCAATGAGCCGGCTTCAGTTGGAGCTTGGCTCAGATGCCTCAATACAAATGCCCGTAGCATGGGGAACAAACAAGAGGAATTAGAGATGTGTGTACGTCTACGGGGGTATGATGTAATAGGCGTCACAGAAACATGGTGGGATGGCTCCTATGACTGGAGTGCTGGAATGGAAGGTTACAGGCTCTTTAGGAAGGACAGGCCTGGGAGGTGGTGAGGGGGAGTTGCCCTTTATCTTAGGGATAGGCTGGAGAGTATGGAACTGTCTGGGGACAGGTGAGCAGTCAACAGAGAGTTTGTGGGTCAGGGTTAAAGGGAATATAGCTATGGGAGACATTACTGTGGGGATCTGTTACAGACCGCCTGATCAAGGAGAACCTGTGGATGAAGCGCTCTATGGACAGATAAGAACAGCCTCACACTCGCAGGCCCTTGTTCTCATGGGTGACTTCAACCACCCTGACATCTGTTGGAAGGACGGTACAGCCCAGCACAAGCAATCCAGGAGGTTCCTCAGCTGTGTGGAAGACAACTTCCTTCTTAAAGTAATAGAAGAGCCGACAAGGAGAGATGCCATGCTTGACCTCGTGCTCACCAACAGGTAAGGGCTCGTTGGAAATGTGACGCTCCAGGGCAGCCTTGGATGCAGTGATCATGAGATGGTCGAGTTTGAGATCCTCAGGACAGTGAGAAGAGTGTGCAGCAAGCTCACTGCCCTGGGCTTCAAAAGAGCAGACTTTGGCCTCCTCAGGAGCCTGCTCAGTAATGTTCCATGGGATACAGCCCTAGAGGGCAGGGGGGCCTTAGAACGCTGGCTTATTCAAGGATCACCTGCTCCAAGCTCAGGAGTGTTGCATCCCAACCAGAAGGAAGTGCAGCAGCAGGAGGGCCAGGAGACCTCCTTGGATGGATAAGGAGCTGTTGAGGAAACTTAGAGGGAAAAAAGAGGCTTATAAAAGGTGGAAGCAAGGTCACATGGCCTGGGAAGAATACAGGGATTTTGTCTGGGAAGTTAGGGACCAGGTTAAGAAAGCTAAGGCCCAGTTAGAATTAAACTTGGCTAGGGATGTGAAATGTAACAGGAAGGGATTCTATAGGTACCCTGTGAATAAAAGACAGACTAGGGACAATGTGGGCCCTCTCCAGAGGCTATCAGGAGAACTGCCTACACAGGATTTGGAGAATGACTTCTTTGCCTCAGTCTTCACTGGCAGGGACTGTGAGAATGAAGACCTTGGGCCCACTGTAGGAGATGATCTGGTTCAAGACCTTCTTAAAAATCTGAACATGCACAAGTCCATGGGACCTGATGAGATCCATCCGCGGGTCCTGAAGGGGCTGGCAAATGAAGCTGCTAAGCCACTGTCCTTCACATTTGAAAGATCATGGCAGTCAGGTGAAGTTCCCAATGACTGGAAAAAGGGAAATATAACCCCCATTTTCAAGAAGAGGAAAATGGATGACCCAGGAAACTACAAACAAGTCAGTCTCACCTCTGTGCCTGCCAAAATCTTGGAGCACATTCTCCTGGAAGGCATGCTAAGGCACATGAAAATCAACAAGGTGCTTGGTGACAGCCAGCGTGGCTTCACTAAGGGGAAATCCTGCCTGACCAATTTGGTGGCCTTCTATGATGGGGTTACAGAACTGATGGACAGGGGTAGAGCAGTTGATGTCATCTACCAGGACTTGTGTAAAGCGTATGACACTGTCCCACACGACATCCTTGTCTCTAAATTGGAGAGACATCAATTTGATGGATGGACCACTCGGTGGATAAAGAACTGGCTGGATGGCTGCACACAAAGAGTTGTGGTCAATGACTCAGTGTCCAGTTGGAGACCAGTAACGAGTGGTGTCCCTCAGGGTTGGGTGTTGGGACCGGTCTTGTTCAACATCTTTGTCGCTGACATGGACAGTGGGATTGAGTGCACCCTCAGCAAGTTTGCCGATGACACCAAGCTGTGTGGTTCGGTTGATACCCTGGAGGGAAGGAATGCCATCCAGAGGGACCTTGACACGCTTGTGAGGTGGGCTGATGCCAACCTCATGAATTTTAACCATGACAAGTGCAAGGTCCTACAGCTGGGTCGGAGCAATCCCAGGCACAGCTACAGGTTGGGCAGAGAAGAGATTCAGAGCAGCCCTACAGAGAAGGACTTGGGGGTGTTGGCTGATGAGAAAATGAACATGAGCCAGCTACAGTGTGCGCTCGCAGCCCAGAAAGCCAACCGCATCCTGGGCTGCATCAAAAGGAGTGTGACCAGCAGGTCGAAGGAGGTGATCCTGCCCCTCTACTCTGCTCTTGTGAGACCTCACTTGGAGTACTGCGTGCAGTTCTGGTGTCCTCAACATAAAAAGGACATGGAACTGTTGGAACAAGTCCAGAGAAGGGCCATGAGGATGATCAGGGGACTGGAGCACCTCCTGTACGAAGACAGGCTGAGAAAGTTGGGGCTGTTCAGCCTGGAAAAGAGAAGGCTGTGTGAAGACCTCATAGCAGCCTTCCAGTATCTGAAGGGGGCCTATACGGATGCTGGGGAGGGACTCTTCATTAGTGACTGTAGTGACAGGACAAGGGGTAACGGGTTAAAACTTAAACAGGGGAAGTTTAGATTGGATGTGAGGAGGAAATTCTTTACTGTGAGGGTGGTGAGGCACTGGAATGGGTTGCCCAAGGAAGCTGTGAATGCTGCATCCCTGGCCGTGTTCAAGGCCCGGTTGGACAGAGCCTTGGGTGGCCTGGTTTAGTGTGAGGTGTCCCTGCCCATGGCAGGGGGGTTGGAACTTGATGATCTTAAGGTCCTTTCCAACCCTTACTATTCTACAATTGTATTCTATGATTCTATTGAGTAAGCCAACTCCCCAGATAGGTAAGAGAACAGTGAAAGTTGATTAAAGCGGCTCTTGAGCATCTTTGCACTCTGAGTATTACCATAAAAGAGGAAAAAGATAAGTCTTGCAGCAAAGAAGAATGGAGCCAGGAGCTTAAGGCTTCCAGAAACATGCAAAGCTGTGATCAAGAGCTTGGAAATGCTTTGATTTAAAGAAAACAGCAAACCACCAAGAATGCAGCTGACAGTTTTAAGCATGCTGGGCTTGAAATACTAAAAATAAGACTTTCCTCTCCTCATTAGTCCAGGTAATATCAAAATCATAGTCCAGATACCATGTATGCTTTTTGGCTTTCAGAACAGATTGAGCTCACGTTGGCACAGGATTCATCTAAGGTAAACTCTTACACTCAAGACACAAGGGAAGGCACTTTCAGAGCACAATTCATTCCACTGATCTATTTCACACATCTTGATAGGAAAGGATGTTTTGGATCAGCAGGTTCCAGGAGTAAAGTGACAGGAGACAACTTCTGCCTGGTACAGCTAGTAGATTCTGGTGCAACCCACCTCCCTCACTGGCATAAACTAAAAAGCCATTCTGTAAATGAACAGAGCCAAGGCTGAGAAACACTTCCTCCCAGTGACTGCTGGGAGGAGCAGTAATCTTCAGAGAGACACATTCTTACTACACAGAGGTAGCAAGATCTTACACTAATGCAGCTTGTCTCTCCAGAAGTCACAAGCACTGGGACACAGCTATAGCATATACCATATGAGTTTCACACATCTGCATGTATTACTTCAGGGGTAATTTCCAGAATAGCTAAATCTCTACATCTGTTGTAAAACGTGTTACTTAGCATCCTACTGTATTATGAACACACATCGATGTTTCATTAAGTTAGATACCTAAATTGAGGACATGTGTGCATTTCCTACAGGCTTAATGGTCTGCTGTTCTCTTGCAGCAGATGTCTCAAATGGACAGCCTGCCTAAAGACTCTAAGGTTATGAATGGGAGCAACTCGCATTTCCTCCTGAAAGCTAGTAACTCATACTTACTACTACACCTTATTTTATGAATGCAAAAGGCTCTGTGACCCTGACAAGCATCACACTGCACAGACAGTATTTCTTCCAAAGTCCCTGACTGACAGCAAGTGAAAACCTTTATGTATCTGTAAAAAGGAAGCAAACAGGCAGTAAGAAGTTTATGTGTCTCTCCTGTGCCTCAGTATCTCAGAGGAAGATGTCGCAAAAGGATACTCAGATACACTACTTGGAGGGAGTACTGCAGTATCTTAGAGGGAGATGACCAGACAGAAATGGTGCTGATTGAATCATTACTATTAACTTCCAGCTCTGGCATAGGAATGTTGGCACTTAAATTGAAAATTTCAAGACCCATCTAAATTAATACCCTGTTACTAGGAAAAATACACAAATGCTGGGAAAGGACTGCAACAGAATACATTGTGAATAATAAAAGAAAACAGCAACTTTACTAAATTTATGGGATGATATAAAAATATGCTTCTCTTTCATCATGGGGACAAAGTTTAGCAGTTATGGGATCTGTTGCTATTTGTTTGCTATAATGGGCTTAGCCTAATAAAACAATTTAGAAGTCTCTGACAGCAGTGGAATATCCAGATGATATCCTACATCTTCAAGAGTATGTGCACTTTCACTGAAAAAAAACTTAATTCCTGGATCAGGATAAAATAAAGTAGAGGTCCATCTTTTACCTGGAAGACAGTCCTGTGGTCTTCTACTACTTGCTCTTCCATTTCCACCATTTGTGACACAGCTTCATGAAAAGTAAACAATTGTGGAGAAACTTCCTCTTCCTGAAATAGTTAAGCTTATTAGTCTGGAAAGAACCATAGCTACAGGAAATACATTGAATGTGATCCATCTTATCACAAAACACAAAAAGAAACATGCAGGAAGCAGAACCTGTCAAAAATAGAATTCAATACTTTCAACACAAAAATCTCCAGAAATGAGTGGAGAGAGCAATAAACGCAAAATTTTCCAAAAAAGAGAACAGCAATTACATTCAATACAATTCAGGAAATCAAAACTGAATCAATCTTTTGGGAAAAAGGTGGGATAAATGTAAAGTGAGAAAGCTAAAATGCACATAGTGATTAGAAGAATACACAACATGGATTTACAAACTGGGGCAAACAGAGCTTCTTTAGAAATGAATAGTTAACAATCAAAGCAGAGAGCGCTAGGTAGGCTGTAGTTCATGTTTTAGCAAGACAGTATAGTTCCCTATATGATGCATTTGAAATCTTTTTTAGAAGATACTGTAAAGCTTACTTTAATTCCAAATGAACAATCAAAATGTACAATATGAAAGGATATCTGGCTGGAAGGACTGTCCAGTGGGAAGTTCTAGGAATCACTAGCATGATCTCTTAAAATAGACCCCTGGAAAAAGAGCCAGTTACTGAAATAAGAAACATAGCAGATGCCCTGAAGAGGTGTCTGAGAAGGCAGATTCTTATAGAAAATAAGTTAGGATATTAATGATTTTGATTTCCAATCTTTCACCAGCATTTTCACAAAGTTTTAATCTCTCATGAATATTTAGGGAATCAGGACTAGAGCTGATAATCCACAGTGAGGGGAAAATGCCCTTTAGAAGATGCCTCTCGACTCCCCAGTCCTGCAGCCCAGGGAGATATGGTGGGAACATGATGTGGCTCTCCCATGCAGGACACTGGGGCTTCATCCCATGAAAATCTGTGTGTCGAGAAGAGGAATGACAGGTGACCAGGTTTCTAAATGCAGAGAAAGGCAAACTGACTTAAAATGTGTGTTGCATGCAGGGTAAGTAATGCTCAAAACCATGAGAGTGTTAAACAAAACAGATGAGTGTCCCAGGATATTTCTAACTGCTTAAAAAAATGTGAAGCTGTACTGGAAAAAATGCACACTAAAGAACACCAGAGCCTAGGGCAGACCCTGCCTAGACATAAAAAACTCTAATCAGCAAGAAAAACAAAGAAAAGTAGAACATTCTGCTCCCACCCTTCAAGAAACACTTTGTTTGGGTCCTTTTTTCCTATGTGAACATACATAATACCATAAAGTGAAAAGGTGAAGAGGCATACTGTATTTTCTTAATGATCTTGTTAACAGGCTATAAACACACATTGCTCTGAATTTGTTCTGCCACTGCATTTATCGTCGCCTCTTCCCATGTAATCCTATAAACCACTCACGTTTTGTTCGCAAAGCAGTTTGAGATCATCTCTCTGAGGAGAGCTCCCCACACCCCACTGTGTCTCCAAGTCATCAATTTGATTGGGAGGATGGTGTATAGTGGGACGGTTATCTCCTGTGGCAGTAGGATCGACTGTCAGCTCCTTCACCCTATGAGCAGAAAATGTTTCATTTGTAAATTAGCAACTTCCTATGCAAAAGAGTCAAAAAATAAAACAAAAATAAAGCTCTATGGGTTTATACACAATTAATTCAATTAATAAGGATAATGATGATGTCAGCTTCACAAATTTAATGCACTTTAGTGACAAAAATCTTATTCCAATTCCTAAAAAGCATGGGGCATTGAATTTCAGTTACTTGGAGGTGGACTACAGTTCATCTTCTAGCAAGAGGCATTTTCTTACTGAGATCTTACTACTCATTAACAGGGCAAAAGAGGGCAAAAATGTCCAAAATTTCAAAATTCACTCCTTAATAATGAGTAATATTTGAAATAAAAATTTATTCAGCACCCTAAACTAGACCATCTTTTTCTGTGGACACAAAATTGTGCTTAAAAAAAGTTAGTCAGTCACTGCCCCACTAGCTGTTACCCACCATGCGAAGCAAACCAATCCCCACAAGCACATCCACCATGAATTCTGAAGAAAGTAACTCTCTGAGATACCTGGTTGGACATTATTAATAAATCCTTTAATTAAAAGGATTTCAAAGGTGAAAAAAACTTGAAATATTAGGGTCTTGTGGCATGAAAATAGTTTAAATGGTTTATAATGATTCTATCAAAAAAAGCCCTTAAGTCTGCACATGTAGCAAGTTTTAGAACATTTTTCATTTTTTTAAAGGAAACAATTTTTTTTTCAAGTAATACTTATATACTACAATGGAAACTGTTTCATTAATAGCGATGAAAAAGTTTACAAATATGTATGCATTAAAATTGTTTTCTTTTTCAATTAGAGATATTCAGATCACCCTAAACGCAGATTTGATCCACTAAATGTACAAAGGTGACATCACCATTATTTTTTTTTTTTAAGTATGAAGGCAACTAGCAAGAGCGTGGATGTTTAAGGAGGGTGAACAAAATACTGGGAAGATGATTGCAGATCATGCAGAACCATTACCTGCCAAACAAAATAAAAACAAAGTATGTGTGGCTCAAGGCAAGGGGACTAAATGAAAGGTTGGTCTGTAAAATTACATAGCCAAAAAGAAAACTTTAAGAATAAATATTCCATGTATAGAATGAAGTAGACCTGGTGATTGAAGGAGAAAAGTCGTCATACTCATAGGAAGGAGAGAGATCAGAGCGACTGCCACTACCCTGTGAGAAGGGAATGTCCGAAGGACTAATTCCAAATTCCTTTACTCTGCAGCAGCAAAATACAGCAGCAAATTAAGAGAAAATGTTCTCATAAACAGTTAAAATGACAACTCTTTGTTTAGCATTCTTCTTTAATACTTTAACTACAAAATAATTTATATTAAAACACAAGTGTGCCAACATATTTAAACCTTCTGCAAGCAGCTTACAGATCACTAACAAAACTGAATAAAGCCAATGACTGCTGATTTGCAGGGGATCGTAACAGCAGTGTTCTCAGAAATGTAATTCCAGATTTCAGTTCCCACAGTTAATATAATTTGTTCTACATTCAATATTCCATTAAATGTCTTCTTCTGAAATATCAAACCACTCCAGCTACAAAACTTTGAATTCTATTCTGTCCCCCATCTTATACTGCACACACATTAGTGTCCACCACCTAAAAACTAATTGTGGTATGAAAACTGTATTGCCAGAAAAATCCTAAAATACTACACAATACACATGAAACAACTTTACAGTCACAAGCATTTACTCCGTAACAACAGACAAATACAACACCAAGGAATCAAGCATAAGGTTTCAACACAACTATTCAGTATACTAGATATAGATGCTTAATTAGTTCTGCAGTGTCTTTTTCTAGAAACACTTCGACACATTCTGTGAGGAGTAAAAGATCCATTGAGTCTTGATGAACGTTCAAGGTCCTTCTGTGTAAGCAGAGGAGTGCTTCATCTCTTACTGTAAGAGAGGAAGCCTCCTTCTCACCAGGAAGGAAATCACAAGACTGATCCAAGCCAGGCAGATGTGCTACTACCTCCCTAGACACAGAAACATTAGAGTACAAAGAGCAGTGGGCAGTAAACTTTCCTAGAAGTCGTTTGTGCACAACTAGCAACTGGCCAGGATGCCCCGCCAAATAGGAGCAGACATGGTTCTGCCCTGCCTGTCACTGGGGCAAGCAGGCCACTAGATGGTAGCCTCTTCTAGCAAAACCAGGCTTTCTGGTGGCCCAGAGGTGCAGTTGACACGTTTGCTCGTTGCAGCAAAGCATAGGGGGAGGTTCCTGGGTTGCAGGGCTGACTGCAAGGACACACAGGACCTGATCACCCCATCTCCACAGACATTAAACGAAGGAGAACTGCAGCACTCACTTAAGAGACATGAACGCTTTTGGAGAGTACTACAGGTTTCAGAGGTGCTACATTAGCCTCTGCAGCGCTAACCTCTCTACAAGTCATTGCAAACTCACTGTTGGATTAACTATTTAGGGATCTCAGATATTTGCCTGATTTTGGGAAATATAAAATTTCAGATATATATATTATTCTTTTTATACATAAACCAGACTGGCAACTGCATGTTATTCCACCAAGGGGATAAAAAAATCAAAATCAAAATAATAATAATAACAACAACAACATTGCAGAAAGGTGTTTCAGCTAACACCCCCAGGAATTGCCATGAAAACTGACTACCTCTAGTGCAAGAGATGCTGCTTAAAACTAATCATGGCGTCTCCACATTCCTTGCAATCTACATTACCCATTCTCTGGATAACGGCTTAAATGCCAGTTTCTACTGATTCTATTGTAATCATTGTAAAAAGTGACAAATTAAATTAAATGTGAGTCTGGATCAGCAATTTGTACAGTCAAATTATTCAAGTACCTAAAATAGTTATACATTATGGAAAAACACTATTCCAGATGTTGGTAACCAACAGCCAATAAATCTACAACCAATAACATTTTCCATACCTATTTGCGTATCTCAATGTATTCAGAGTGTTTTCACATGATGCCATTCCTGGAGAAATTGTAGCAATCTGGAAAAAACAAGCCATGTGTTAATAAGTCGCTTCGTACAAATGAAAGGGTAGATGAATTCAGGTTTACTTTATTTTTCCAATCTCCAGTTTCATTTGAGATCTTCTACAAAAACTGTGTACCATGTACAGCTGTCCTTATGCAGTCACATCTCAAGGAAACAGATGTCAAATCAAAGCTTCAATTTAATTTTTTTTAACTATACCTGGAACATTAAGAATTCATAGGAATTCAGTCAATTTCACCCATCTCACTGTCTTGGTAACATAATATGTTAATGCAAAACTCTAACTGAAAAAATAAGGACACCTCAAAAAGGGAAATAGCAGCTCAGGAGAAAGTGATCCCAATATATCCTGCAAACAATTGCCAGGTTATTTTTTTAATATCTCTTTGTAGGCTGTTTGCCATTTAAGCAGTCTGTACACTGATTTAACAGACCTATTTTGACCACAATCCAAAACTGTACTTAGTATTAGAGATAAGCTTGTGTTCAACTATTTTCCTAAGTATTTTTCCCCTCAATGAAAAGTTATCTGTAGACAATACTTGACAGCCAACTTATTATCAGATGTATCTGGAATCTACGGGTCTTCCTTTTCCAGTTAAATAAAATACCCTGAAGATCTCTTCTTCTTCCCATCACTTAGCAAAAAATAATAACTATGACCAGGCCAACAGTAGCGTCATTATTTCACCTAGTCTTTCTCAGCAGTCCAATTATTTCATCTGTGCTCCTTTCAGGTGAGCCATAAGGGCGCTATCCAGGACAAACACTTCTATGATCCTACACACTAACATTTTTTGTGGCAGCACAGTATTAGAAGACTAAAACTGAGGGAGATTATATATTCCTGGTCTTCTCTTTCATCCTGCTGCTGACATGAAGCACAGGCAGTCATCCTGAAAGGATTTCTCCTACTGGGGAATATGGAAGAATATGTGGTGGAAGGGTGTTAGGAAGTTATTATGGTTTAACCCCAGCTGCTACCTCAGCACCACGCAGCCACTCACTCACTCACCGCTCTCCCCCACACACCCCCACAGGCAGGATGACGAGGAGAACTGAAAGAATTTAAACCCCCACAGGCTGAGAGAATAGTTTGATAAGTGAAATAAAGTATAACTACTAAAGTATAATACAATAATAATGATAGAAGTAATACAAGCACAAACAATACTAATAATAATAACAGCAAACAACAACAAAAAGAGAAATAAAAATTCAGAAAAACACAAGTGATGCACAGTACTATTGCTTACCACCCACTGACCGATACCCAGCCTGACCCAAGCATCAATCTGTGACTTTCGGGTAACTCCCCCCACTGTATATACTAGGCATGACATGCTGTGGTAAGGAATACCCCTTTGGCTAGTTTGGGTCAGGTGTCCTGTCTCTGCTTCCTCCTGGCTTCTTGTGCCTCTTCTCACTGGTAGAGCAGGAAACACTGAAAAGTCCTTGACGTGGGTAAGTGCTACTGAGCAACAACTAAAGCATCAGTGTGTTATCAACACTGTTGTCACACTGAAGCCAAAACACAACACTGCACCAGCTACTGGGAAGAAAATTAACTCTATGCCAGCTGAAACCAGGGCAGAAGTCTAAAAAGTCTGCTACTACAGAGACTTAAATTTAAACCTCAAATACTGGTCCACATCAGCTACTAATGAAAACAAGTGTAGCTTTTAAAAGATCACATGATTGCATGTCTCTTTGTAAAGTGTTCTAGCTGCTAATTAACAAAAACTACAAGTTCCTAAAGTCCTTCTAAACTCATTTAACGTGAAAGATGCATGCAACTCTTCCACCAGTTCAACGTTCAGAGCACAATACACACAGCAACTGCCACAGAAACATTCAAAATGGTCCAGCATTATACTGTAGGTGCTGTCAGCCATGCCATACTCCATTCGGATCACAAGAATCCATGCACAAGATCCAGGCTGTTGAACACAAAAATCCAGTACATCACATGTCCTCATGCCCCAAGAAGCCCAAAAGAGGAAGACTCCAACTTCTCTGTTGCTTGCTTCCTCATTTGTAATGCCAAATGCTGATGGAAAAAGCTGCGCTATTTATGAACAGGAATATCTTTAAGACCTGCAATTACCTTTATTTCTATTTTGAGCGTGTCTACATTGCTCATAAGCCATCACAACAGAATCAATGGCCCTTTTGGGACATGAAGTCTGCAGGTTCCTACTCCCAACCCCAAAAGCCTCAGGTATCTGGCACACCGAGCTTTGGCTGCAACACTTCAAGGGTGCAACACATCAGGATGCAACACTGGTTAAAAAGTTAAACTATTACATGTAGCTACATTGAAAATTTCTAATAATGATACATTACCCTACTATGTAACTCCTCAAAAGCAACTTCAGATGTTTTCTTTTTAAACTACTTAAAGACAAGAACTTCAGTGACTGATAAAAGTTCAAACCAATCTACTTACGCTGACTCTATGCCTCTGGATTCCTCTAAAATGACGCAGATAATAGTCGTAACTGTCTACATTTGAGTTATTTTGAAAGTATTTTTCTGAAATTTGGAAAAAAGCTTCCAAATCATAGTTTATCCTTACATACAGAAGAAAATGCTCCACACATAGAGATGCAACTTTAAATTGCAACAGGAAGCCTATAAACAGTAACAGGAAAAGTAAAATAAAAATGACGTCTAGAAATCACCAATTAAATATGATTCAAATATCCCACTTACAGATTAGGATGTCAAAAATCAAGCAGAAGAGGCCCAGCAGGTATTTTATACCAGAACATTAAGAATTTTAGAAACTTGAAATCACAAGTTTTTACTACATCATTTTATATGCATTCCATATTGAAAAGGTCCACATATTTGCAAAACATCTTACTTTCTAAGCACATTGCGGCTACAATCCAGAATAGTGGGTCAAATCTTTGTTGATCCGCTTACAATAAAGGCCTCTTACTGACAAGCAAAAGCATTACCTTAAAAGAGGTCTTACATGATCACTAAGCAGTATTTTCCAATTGAATAGTATTCCTATGTTGCAAACTCTATTTATTTTGCCTGTAATAGGCTAAAACATTTTTCAGGGAAAACAATCATGACCTACATATTTCCTTGTGACAGTTACAATGGTTATCACTAAAAAGTTCTCCTATACTTTAATTTATTTCACAAAAGACTGTTTCTCCTGTAGACACTTCTAGAGAACACAGCAATGATCTATGCAGTCACCTGTAGGAAAGTGAAAAGAAACTACTTATTAAACAATTTTTGAAGTAATTTTTAGCAGCACAGTTAATTACATGACTCTGCTGCAAAACAGCAGTCAGCACACCTGCCAGATAAGTACTTTGTTAGTTTAATAAAATATTGTTCAACTTTAGCTACCATAAACCACAATGACTTCCCTTTTCCTTTATATTCAAAAATTTTGCTGGTGCACGATACAAAATCTACACATGAACATGCTTACAAACCAGACACACCCTGCCAAGGAGCTAAGTGTAAATACCATATTGCAACACTGAATAAACTGTCCTGATAAAAGAGGCAAAAGAAGACCCAGAATACAGGTAAAGCTGCTGATCATTATCAACTATTCCTACCACTTGACCATTGGAATGCAAGTCTCTTCTTTATCCAGGGAACTGGAGAGGACTGCAAGTAATTCCAGGCTAAGTTATCTCCCGTACCTCCCTCAATTCAATACATGCTGTTCAGAAAGCTCTCAGATCTCCATACAGGCAGCTTTATTCTGTATCCATACAGTTATCACAGAGTCAAGTGCTCCAAATGTGAGAGCTCAGTTCAAACAAACAGAAGGATGCACTGCAGGTTTCTCTTCTTTCCCTGCTTCCTTTCAACTGTAATTCAGAGTAAGCCACAAGGGAAGGGAATGACATATAAACTTCCTTCCCACATCAGTATGTGCCCTGGTATTGGCTGGGATGGTTACTTTTCTTCCTAGTAGCTGCTGGAGTGCTGTATTTTGGATTTAGTCTGGGAACAATGCTGATTTACACACTGATGTTTTACCTGTTCCTCAATAGCACTTATTCTCGATCGAGGACTTCTCAGTCTCTCATAATCTGTCAGTGAGGAGGGGCACGGGAAGCCAAGAGGGAGCAAGGACAGTATATATGAGCCAAACTAGCCAACCACAACTACAAGCTGGGCAGAAAACAGACTGAGAGCAGCCCTGACAAGGACTTTTGCACGCTGCTTGACAAGAAGCTCAACATGAACTGGCAGTGTGTGCTTGCAGCCCAGAAAGCTAACTGTACAGTGCGCTGCACCAAAGGAAGTGAGACCAGCAGGTCAAGGGAAGCAATTCTCCCCTTTTACTCCTCTCTCATGAGCCTCCACCTGCAGTACTGTGTGCAGCTCTGGGGCCCCCAACACAAGCAGGACATGTACCTCTGCCCAAGGATTCAGGATGCTCAGAAGGCTGGAACACCTCTCCTATGAGGACATGCTAAGAGAGTTGGTGCTGTTAGCCTGGAGAAGGCTCCAGGAACACCTTAGAGAATCTTCCAGTACCTAAAGGACCTACAAGAAATCTGAACAGGGGCTTTTTACAAGGGCATGTAGTGACAGGACAAGAGAGAATGGCTTTAAACTGGAAGAGGGGAGATTTGGATTAGGTATTAGGAAGAAATTCTTTATTATGAGGGTGGTGGGACACTGGAACAGGCTGTCTAGAGTAGTTCTGGATGTCCCATAGCAGGAAGTGTTCCAGGCCAGCTTGGACAGAGCTTTGAACAACCCTTTCCAGTGGAGGCTGTCCCTGCAAGTGGCAAGGGGGTTGGAAGTAGATGCATCTTTAAGGTCTCTTCCAACCCAAGCTATTCTAGGGCTCTACCAGCCAGAGGAAAGAATAGGCTGCCCAAACATCATAGTTTTTCTGTTGTGGTCTGCAGACTTCTCTGGCCTCTAGACTAATTAATTCCAAGGAATCTGAAAAGTAACCAACATAAATAAGCATACCAATTAGCATCCACTGCAGAAAGTTTGCATTTCAATAAGGAGAGATGTTAAGGATGCACAAATAAAATGACTGCACACCAGTGTTTTTATCTGACAGAACTGGTTTTCATGCTGATGCAACTGCACATTTATATATACATAGTTATGTTTTCCATCTATCCCTATTTCTCCCCTCAACAGCCTAGAACATATTCTAATGTCTTCGATACCAATTTTAAATTTGTCATTTAAAGACTGTAACTCACCACTGTACTTCCAGTCTACACCCCTTTTTCCAAAATTGTGAGTGAACAAACATTGCTCTCATAATTCAGACTTTACTAAACCAAATCAACCAACCAATCAAACTTCTTGAGCTACAAGTGTTTCTAGCTAGATGCCTAGCTAGATGCCTAGCTAGAAAACTAGAAGCAGCAATAAGAAACGCCAACAAAAAGTGAGAAGGGAGCAAGTTACCTGAACTGCCTCTGCTGAAAGTCTCATTACACATAGTGTTAGCGGACAAATTTAAGTCCAAAACATTGTCAGTAGCAAGCAACCAATTTTGAACAGAACAGTTTAAAACTGCCTAAATTCCCAGCGTCTTTCCTTTTTATAACTGTTAGAACAAACAGTTAAATCAACTTACCATACAGGTACGGGAGTTTTCTCCGATGAATGAATCTCTTAGCACCTGAGTAAGTTTACTTGCTCTGAAGGGTGTATGAGGTTTATTTCGGCCTAAGGCTCTAATGCACTCCTGAAAGAAATAACATGCTTATGTATTTTAACTTAACATGTATTGAATAAATACAAATACAGCTGAAAAGCATTATACACATGCCTTAGTTACGTCGCTGTCCCCCAAAAATCATTAAAATTTACCATTAAAACTTGGATTCATGAAGTGTTAAAAGTTTTCACATTACATCACAGCAGAGACACAGGAAATTAAGATGTACTTAGGAACCTACAAACTTTCTGAATCTCATGCAAAATATTTACATTTGCTGTATCCAACAAGAACAAAACAAGAACAAAAAAAAAAAAAAAAATCAGTGCTGATGTTAAATTTCTGATTATCAGCTGTAAAAGCCAGAATGATCTATAACCTCCGCTAGCAGAAGCAGCGTGCACAGGGACACATGTTAACTCTGCCAATTAAAAGCAGTAGCTTTGATTCTGGCTCTACCACTGACTTTCTTTACAGCTCAGAATCCTCTGAAAGCTTCCACAGGTCACAAACCCAGTAGCTCTCTACTGATGTACCTGATGTTGGAAGACACTTAAAAACACAAGTCATTCCCTGTTTTAAAATACTCCTCATATGAATAAACAGAGATAGGTCTCCTCTTTCACTTAAAAAGGTACGGGGCTAAACTGGCATTTGCAATTGGTTGGCACATTCCAGTGAGAAATACTGTACAGATGTAAATATTACAAAATAACTACAGAAGTTGCAGCAGCAACTAAACACAACAGAACAAACCAAGACCAAGCTAATCTAAACATTTCTTCTGCCCACTCAGAGCTCTAACATCAGTTAATAAGTTACTTCTTACACAAAGGAAGTTTAAATTTGAATTTCTGTGGTGTTGTCATCATCTCCACATCTTGCTCATTAATTCCAGTTTCTAACTTTGCCTTAGTATTTTGTGTACAGGTTATGTTCAGATGCATGGTACGGTTTTGACGTATCTAGAAACAAAACTTCTTTGAACAATAGTACTTCAGAATCTTTTCAAACTAGAGCTAAGCTTTTAGCAACACTAACAGATTAAATGGCTTTTGTGTTACACAAATAGTTTGACAGTAGTTCAGCTAACCCTTCAGCTACAGCCATAACCTTGCGGCTTTTTGAAATTTCCTAGGAACAACTTCTTCCAAAAAACTAGAAGCTGCAGGCTGATAATCCAAGAAAGCATTGCAACAGTGAACAGCATAAAACAGAACTAAAAATGGGATCAGAGTAAAACTGCCATAATACAGAACAGAACAAAACCAAGCTGGTTTTAACTGAAGCAATTACTGAAAAACTCATCAGCTGAATTTTACAGAATGGAAACAGCTCAGATAAAGACTAAAGCTTGTTGAACGTGAATTTCACACGCAAATGCTAGAAAAAAGACTCAGTATAGGCATGCAAGGCAGTGCATTCCTTGATTTTTTTATTGTGCATTAATACTATACATACATAAGGAAAAAGATTATTAGATAGATTATTAGATACAAAGAGGGGCAAGAGATTTTCAACAAGTGATATTACAAATGAAAAACAGTAACGCATGTGTATGTTGAATTACTGATATGGCAACTGACAATTATGATATTTTAATTTACTTTAATCACTTTTAGTTGGTAACTCCTGAAAAATTAGAATTGGATTATCTCCTTATTAATAAGAGGATCACAGGAGGAAACTGCCAGCTTCTAAAACTAATGGAATTTTTAACTACTTCTGCTTTTTCATTAGAGCTCAGAAAACCAGGTAACAAAATGACAACACTACTTCCATGTAGAGACATTACAGAAGCAACTTCCACAAAAAATGTGAACAGATTAGCACTGGACTGATAGCCAAATGCAAATAGGAAGTCATGGATAAGCACCAAAGGCCACTCCTTAGAACACAGCAGTTTAACGTGAACTTGACAATAACTTCAGGGGTCTTGAATATAAATGGAAAAAGCTGCGCAATATTTTTAGCAATAGAAAAAAAAAGCAAAAACATATCATTGAGAAACTCCTATCTTCTTGTACCACTATTAAGACCTCCAACTTGTTTTTAGTTCCCCTTCCCCGTATAATTTAGATCACAACCAGTAGTATGGCAGCAGCAGAACCTTTCATTGTAATTAAAAAGTCAAGTTGAATGAAAATGAACCAAGTATATTGTATGGGTATTGCCCTGAAGGTAGCAGCTAGTACAACATCAACAAGTGGAATAAAAAAAATAAAAACCAACCCCCCCCCAGAACAAATCAGCTTTATTTAATTACATTTGGAAACGTGTGATAACATCAACAGTCTTGCTTCATTATTTACTTTGATGTTAAGTCAAAACAGGCCACAGTTTTGGAACTGCTGCTTCTACTCTTTCAACATGCCATACAATTTTGTAATGACACATTATAAGTTACAATTTTGTGGTGTTTTATGAGATTTGCTTAGTCAGACACCAGTCTTCTCCAAGCTTATACTGGGGATAAAAAGTAAGCACGGTGATTTTGGGATTCAGTTCTTAATATAAAACCACAGTGCTGGTGCTGACAGTAGTAAAACTAAGCAAAGCTAACCAGCAACAGAGGTAAATTCTGTGATATTCAAGATTAGTCTTCCCAGTTAAGATTAAAATATTACTTTCCTGATTGAGACTAAACCTCTTCCAAGCATTATCAAACACACACACAAGGCATGTGAGTGTTTAAATAATAATTCTTAGCTGCCTTGATATGTTCTGGACTGATGTATGAAAATCTATAAAGTGACTGCATGAGACAATCTGCTGTAAAGAAGATTAGTCAAGAACGGATTCCAATTTTCAAGTTTCATTTTGATCTGTTTGTTAGTTCTTTATGGATGTTCTGTTGCTTTAGGGAAGTAACTAACAGTAAATAAATATGTTGTAAAGGTTATTTTAACTTTTTATTAAGAAAAAACAAAAATATTGAGAACCGTAAAGTACTCCCAGTTAGTATTTCAGATCTTGAGCAGCAAATTCAGACATCTGTTCCTCCTATTTTAGATATATATCACTAAAGCCTTAAACTCCGCCATGGAGGAATTTTTGTTGATTTTTTTTTCCTTTTTTAAACTATGTGCAAGTCAATAGCACATTTCAGCAATATTTCTACTTGGTAATTATCAAGTGTTCCTTGAGGCATTTAGCAGAAAAATCAATACATTATTTTACCTGTCACATCAGTCGACAATGTAGAACAGCAAAGCCTGCAAAAACACTCATTTTCGTAGTCATTGCTATTCTCTGTAGAAGGCTTTCACCTACTCAAAGGCAACAGAAACATTTCACTTACCTTGAGTGCTAAAAGGCTCTTGTTAATTTCTGCACCTTCCAATCGAGTCTGCCTATCTGCACTGGAAGTATCTGCTCCTCTTTCATTGCCAGCCAAATCAATCAGAGAAAATTTACCATGCAATTTGCCTTTCCTTCTGAGAATAATCTGAAACACTGCATGGCTTCGAGATGAGTGTGCGTTTGCAGATGTCTGGCCAGATGTCCTTTAAACAAAAGGAGAGAAAGGAAGAACATACAAACAGGTGAAGAACCACACATGTTAAACACAATAACCTCAACATTATTTTTTTCACAGCAGAGTCCTGTATTTTCTTACATGTGTTGGCAGCATGTCTAACATTGTTGTGGACACTAGAAATACAACCCTAATAACTGGATGTACACAGCACAATTATACTCCTGTTTCATCTCTTCAACTATAAATGGAAGATCAGTTTTACCTCCGAGTTTACATGTAGGAAGCCACTGGCACTTTTATCTGATCTGGCAGATATCTTTGTACCAGGCTGATTTTAAAAACAGTGAAGCTGGGTTCTTAAAAAAATATAAAAAAAATTTATACTTAGCTTCTGTCACTACATATCAAGGCCTTTAAGAGGTGAAGAATCTGGCAGTATTCCAGATTACAAATCACATGAAGTTAAGTCACTGAGATGCTTACATAATGCATGCAATTCACATACTGTAGAAAAATCAGTTATTTCTCTCTAGGAGACAGAGAAACTCTAACCATTTATTTAAAAAGTAGGCAGATTCCTAAATTGTAGCCAACATCATCAAAACACCCACATTAAAAAGCCATCACTACAAAGAGACCCCCAAAAATATTCTTATTCTGAACCTTTAATGTACAATGAAAAACTGCTGTAAGTTATGGGAGATACCTGCAGCTGTTGCCTATATCAATAAGCTTAAGAACATCTTCAACACACTTAACTTCCCGTTCCTGTAATCCCACCACCTGGACTTGCTGTTTACCATCTTCTAACACTCTTAATTTTGTCTTCCTGTTCAACAAGTCAAAAACCTTAGGAAGTGGAGGAAAACAAAACAGTTAAAGAGAAGCTTTAAAAGATGCTTCTGTTTCAAATCCTGTATCAAAATATGCAAAGCACTCCATGGAAAACATAACTGTAAAGGAAGTAAATAAGGAATTATCTGAAATACAATTTTTACTACAAATAGGGGAAAACAAAAAAACTTATGTGACAAGCTCAAAATCTTGTTTGTGAAAGAGAAATTCCCCTTCCTTAGAGAAAGATCAGGTACTCACCTTACCACTGTAGATCTCAAAAAATGTTGCATACACTTGGAGTTCTAACTTCTTATTGTTTGGTTTCTTTAGCATGAGAAAGACGTCTCGAGCTGTCAATATATTTACAGAATAGAAAGAAATCTCATTATGTATTTTCATTAAGTGAAGACTCATTAATGCATAATAGTCTATTTTACAGCATCTGCCATATTTTGCAAGTATAACAGATATGGTAGGTCAAATCAAGCCCAAAACATTGCAGTTTAAACTGCCACATTATATCAAGATGCAAAAGACTCTAAAGTTACAAAATTAACTACTCATCTATTATTACACTTTTATACATATGCATTTACTTTACTGTGTATATACTTTATTTATTTACTTTTATATATATACATCTACTTTACTGTGTAAAAGCTACCCATCTAGGAACTACTTTTGATGTTACCAAAGCTCCACTGTAACGCAACTATCACAGAATGATAGAACGGTTTGGGTTGGAAACGACCTTAAGTTCGTCTAGTTTCAACCCCCCTATTATGGGCAAGGACACCTCACACTAGACCATGTCACCCAAGATGCTATCCAGCCTGGCCTTGAGCACTGCCAGGGATGGAGCATCTACCACTTCTTTGGGCAACCTGTTCCAATGCCTCACCACCCTCACAGCAGAGGTTTCTTCCTTGTATCTAACCTGAACTTCCTCTGTTTAGGTTTTAAACACATTGCCCCTTATCCTATGGCTGCAGTCCCTGATGAAGAGTCCCTTTTAAAGCATCCTCACAGGCCCCCTTTAGATACTGCAAGGCTGCTATGAGGTCTCCACACAGCCTTCTCTTCTCCAGGCTGAACAGCCCCAACTTCTCAGCCTGTCTTCATACAGGAGGTGCTCCAGCCGCCTGACCATCCTCGTGGCTTCCTCTGGACTTGCTCCAACAGCTCCATGTCCTTCTTATGTTGAGGACACCAGAACTGCACACATTGCTCCAAGTGGGGTCTCATGAGAGCAGAGCAGAGGGGCATATGTAGGGGGGTTTATGTAGACTTTTATATTTGTACTTCAGGGAGCAGAATATTTACTGATGTCAACTAGACTGCAAAAAGTCAACAAGCGAGTAAGGTCTCACCTGCAAGCGCATATATGCCTTTAGAACAATCCTGGTTCTTTCCTGAAAAGTCACCACCCATAGTCTAAATAAAAGAAAAAATAATAAATAAATAAAATCACAGAACTGAAACTTACATATTTGTTACTTATTAGAACTTAGCTAAGTGTACCATACATAAAAAGAAATGTCTTGCTTACATGTAGAAGAAAATACTTACATGGGTTTTTCCACTGCCTGTCTGCCCATATGCAAAACAAGTTGCCATTCCCCTTTCAAATATGGTCTCCACTAATGGTCGAGCTGTAAACCTTAAGTGCAAAAATCAACAGTACTTAAGAAACTGAATTATTTTAAGGTGCCATCGCTATAAATTTATAAATTACAAAGGCCAGAAGAGACAAAACTGGTCCTCTACTTTGAGGGGACAAAGGACATGTCTACATTAATTCCTGAACTAAAGAGACTACCAGCCCCAAGGCATAAAAATATCCCAAACAGAGAAAAGCTACAAGATCTCACACATTTATTTTCCAACAATATTATCCTCCTTTAAACCCTGAGAAAAAAAGAAAAACCCTTGTTTTAGTACCACAGCATAGCTCACTACATAGAGTTTGGAGCTTCCTAAAGACAGAATTAAAAGTAGGACAGTGAAGCAGATAAATACTTAGGTTTTGCCAATACTAAAATTCTGCTATAATTTTGGGGATGTTTTTTTTCTTCCCAAACACATTTTTTTAAAGCCTTGTGTGCATTATTCTGTGCCAGCTGAGGAAATGAAACAGAAAAAGGAGAAAATGGAGATCCAAATACCTTGGTGCTGAAAATGGACGTATGTCTTTGTTGTTGTAGTTCTTTTAAAATAGAAAGATTCAATATTTTCAGCAAGATAACTTAGCTCCATGCACCCGTATATTACATCAGCCAGAATGCTTCCAGTAGCCAAGGTAGCTCAAGCATCTCAGTAATATAACCTCTCTCACTTTCTTTGCACTCCTTCTGTACCCTCTCCTGATTTGTTTCTATCTCTTTATTATCTTACATGCAATCTATAAGTTCTTTGAGGATGGAGCTGTCCTTTTTTTTCCAAGTTTCCTGAAGACTAAAAGCCATGAGTCAGGTTCCTCAGGTGCTGCACACACACTAATTAGTAAGATAAGCCTAAGGCAAATGGAGAGCTCAAAAAGTTGTTCATGAGGAGGTAGGCAATACATACTAGAGCCTGGAGACCAGGCAGGGTTGGAGAACAAATGAGAGCTGGACTGAGGTTAATGGAGGTGGAGATGACATTGCAGGTTAATAACTCAGGATATAGAGTTAAACAAAAGTAAACAGGTAAAAGAACAGAGGTAGCAATATATATATATCTGATAACATAGAGAACAGGGGTAAATGACCAAGGGTCTAAGCCCACAGTTATTGACATGGAAGACACTTGAGAAAAGAAGATTCAAAAAAAAAAAAGTATATACACATACCTGTAAACCATTTCATTAGGAGACGTTTCATCAAAGGTATAATCAAAACGAAAAGTTTGGTTTTCTAGGTACCGTGTTAAATCCACCTTTTGTTTTGGTTCATGTACCATCACAACATCTTTACTAGGAATTGTTATAACATCAAGGTCTTTCATTAAAGTTTCTATAAAATAAGCGAAATACTTAACTAGCAACACATTTTTTTCCATTTTTTCATTGTGTATACTCTTACAACATCTCAGATAACACAGCTCCTCCACGTAACAATGAACTGGATTAAGGGCTTCCAATGCCTAGAGAGTAATCTGCTAAATAACACATTTCATTTTGGAAGGCTAGTTATCCTATCCTACCAATTGCTAGAAATTAGGCTGTACAAAGCTGGTAAGAAAATAACCATTAATTTTATCACTATCATTGTAGCTTGTTATGTATTCTATAACAACACTTCCCAAGGATTTCACCTGTTTTCTCTCAGAGCTTCTATGCTGTTTTACAGATTACTAACATATCCTTAAGTTTTTATAGCTTCTTTACTGGACAAACTGGACACTTATTTTCCTTAAATCCTTAACATTACAGTCACATTTTCAGAGCCTTCCAGAAGAATTTTGCTTTCATTTTACACTGACATTTTTGTTTGTGTATTCCTCCTGTAACCTAAACTATACATCTTTAATACAGAATTTCTCCAAAGCAAAATCCTTTCTAAAGATTACCATGTAGGCAGAAAATACTGAAAATAATAAAAAAAAATCCTTCCTATCACTGGAAATGACCAAAAGCCATCTAGATACGATTTCAACAGTGAGGTCCCAGGTTATAATTACTACACAGCACTATAATTTACTGGTAATTGTTGTATGAGATACACAAAGCAGCAAAACAGAGAACCCAGTGATCCAGGACATGCACAAAAATAAAGACCCTTTGTGTGTACATTCAGGATCACTCATGTGTCCTACTTCCATTTCTATGTAAAATTTCTTAAAGCATGCAGTTCAGGAATTTGATGTGGCTGTATGCAGTCAGACAGAAATCTTTTCATTGGTTAACAAGCTGATCAAACAGTACAATTGTTACCATTGCATAATATTATACACCAACAGAAATATGCATTCAATCACTATATAATAATTTTTTCAACTGCTCTGCAATAAAATAAGATGCAATTATTCTGCAGTAATCACAAAGAAATAAGGAACAGGGATAAGAAGAAATGTAAGACGGTAAATTCTTTGCAGCAAAAGCTTTTTAGTTTAAGCAGTCAAAAGCTGTTTTTTCTTGAGTAATTGTTTGGAATAAGACATTTATGTGCTCCCCGCTATTTGTTACATTCCTTGCTGACGAAAATTTGGAACACTGTCTCTGAAACCCACCATGAATTTCTCAATCGTATGTCATTGAAATAAAATCTCAATGTCAAAAGAAATTAATTTCATTTAAAAAAAATTAAATATCAAAACTTTTTATTTAAATTAAGTAACTTAATGCTAATGTGAACACCTACTTCCTGCAAAGTCAATCCCACAGAACAGTTGGCACAGAGAACTCTAAAGATCCTGGTGATAATTTTGTGGTTTTGAGTCTGACAAAACAAACTGATTTTTTTTTTCCTCTTCAGGGAGTTAAACACTAATGTCTTTGATTCTTCAATTTTAAAACGTGGCATGAGAAATACTGTTTCCTAGGAAGTGTGTGTTTTCAGAAAACTGTATCATGTGGGTACTAGATTATGGCTATGATTATTTCACTACAGGTTATTTTTGAAAATGCAAAGTAACTTTAATACCAACCTCATTTTTTCATAGACACTCATCTTCCTACAAACAATTTGAGCTATTTTTTTTAATTAGCCTAAACCACTAATAGCTAAGATATGCAAATTCCACAAAATCAAATCCTACTTCGAATCCAAATTCACACTCCATGACAGCTTGCTCTCATTTACTATAACCTCATTTTGTCTATCTTCAGGAGAAGGTGATGTTTCCCCTAAATGCACAAGATTTCCAAGTCATATTCTATTAAGAAACCTCCAAAGATGAAACAGAAATTCAACTCCTACCAGACTTGTACATTGAACACCCTTATTAAATAGGTTGTGCACAGTATTTTCAAGTACTGAATTCTTGAGATTATGCATTTTTTTCAGATCGGTACAAGAGAAAAAAAAAGAGGGAAAAGGAAAATAGTGAAAGTAAAAATGAAGGAAAAAGGTAGGCTAAGTTAAAGGTCTTTTCCAACCTAGTTCATTCTATGATTCTAAGTAGCAACATGGAGAGGGGAAGACAAAAAAAAACCCACCAAAAATTAATGATATAGTGGTATCAACATGTTTTCCCTTTCCCACACAATTCTCATGTTTGCCTCTGAATCTGCTCCAGATAATCTTCCATGTGTAGATCTGACAGTACAAAAGTAAGAAAAGCCTGCCATGTTGTCTCAGAGAGTGATGCTCTTTGAGACATTTAGCTAAACAAAATATAGAATCATTGAATCACAGAATGGCTTGGGCTAGAAGGGACCTTTAATGATCATCTAGTTCCAAACTCGCTGCCTTTGGCAGAAACACCTTCCATTAGACCAGGAAAGGGAAGGAAAAACACATTTCAAAGTGAAAGCTTACTTAAGCACAAGATTCAAACAGAAGCATCTCCATTCTTAATTTCCCACTGAAAGTAAAGAACTTCACGGAAGACTGGAATTTAACTGGAGTTGGAAACCTCAGCTGTTTGTTTGGAGTTTTTTTATACAGGCTCCAGTCTGATGAATAGATAGCAAGAAGTTGTAATACTAATCTCATATTTAACAAGCAACTACTAGTGTAATAGTTTCACCTTTGATCAGTATTCCTAGATCTCTAACATGAATAATATTACTATCAGAAGCAGCTTTTCAGAGGAAACAAAAAAAAAACAACAAAAAAACCCACCCAAAAACACCATCAAAATCTCTAATGGTTTAATGGTCATACCTTTTTTATTGAGTGGTCGTTTCCGTACACAAACACATATCCTGTGCTCATCAATCTGCAAAGGAAATAATCTTTCAGTGAACCATACCCCAATTATACAATAGCATACTTATTTTACTTCTATTCTTGAATTAATTGAACAGTAATTTAAACAAAGAGAAACATTCAAGACAGTGAGTCATCTAACATAGAAAAACCCTTTGTGTCTGCACAACAGCAAAGAGCCCAAAAGGGAGAACCACACATTAACAAAACCCCTGCAGACAGTAATATAGTCCTGTAGCATCCCAGGTGCATCTTGGAATATTTCAAGCAAATCCAGACCTAACAGGGTAGATATGCTATCGACAGAAATGATCACCATCTCTGATTTCCACAGAGATCTGATAATCTTCATTTAAGAATCCTGATCTTTTGACTTCTTTGCAAACCAAATCCCCCACCACCTTCAAAGATCAAATATTAAACTTTATACTGAACAAGGTTTTTGAGAGAAGCTTAACGGTTCTTTGTGCATATCACCTAGCATTCCAGGAAAATTTATAATACAGAGACTGAGTGACTACTTCGTACATATTGGTATAATTTTATAGTAAAAGGATATTTGAATAACATAGCATAATAATAATTTAGACTTTCAATACCTACTACTTACTATATCATCAAATTACTGAAAAAAATAAACCCATGTGATAATGAATACTAAAACATATTAAACTACTTACTTTTCATGTTTATAGACATTAAGTACACATTGAAAAAATGGAAAACACAGCAAAAATACAGACAGATAAGAAACTTCTATGTTTTTGGGGTACTTACAGGATCTGCATTTGTCAGTGGTCTGTAATCCAAACTTGCCCTGAAATCTCTTATCATACACATAATTTCATAATTTGGGTTTGTAGCATCAACATCCTAGGGAAGTAAACAACATAATTTCTAATATATTTTTTTAATTGAAACTGACAAACTTCAGTATCTTCTGTATTTATTTATGAGAAAAACACAAATTAACAGAAATATTATTTTTTCTCCAAAATGCCAGACACATCCCAATATGCAAGTTCAATGCTTTTTTCCATTCTGATGCAGCTGATTTACTTATCACAAAACAATTACATGCCTTCTATTTAATGTTTTTGATTGGCATATAATAGAAAATACTTTTTATTGGAGGACCCATTAACAGACTACTCAAGAAAGAGAAATGACTTCTGCCTTCAACAGATTCTTCACACTAAAACGCCTCTCAATGACAGCACAGCACCTGATAGCATACACGATCAATGCTTCTTAATCAGAGGTAAGGCAGTCCAATGGACAGATGGATACACTCCATTACACAGGTACAACACATACTGCAGAGGACAGTGACAATACCCAGCTGCCCCAAACACAGCTTTGTTGCATCCAACTTGGTTTAAGGAGCTTTATCCTACTACTGCTCCTGAACTCCTACAGTTACTTGGATGCATTGCAAAAGTTTCCAACACTCTTAGACCCTTGCCAATAAAAGCAACTCTGAGCTACAACCGGGCTCAAGTGGCTTCCCATCCTTAAAGCTGGAGCCATCAGTACCACAGCAAATGGATATATAAGAGGCCTTGCACAGAGTCCCTCCAAGCCTTGCTAAGCCTAAGCCTACTGTGAGCTGAGTTGGTTCTCTGAAGAACTGATCAAACATCCTTCCTGCCACTTCTCCTTGAAACTTAGTTTTTACACCATTTCAGGACAAGCTAATGATGCCATACATAGCCAGCTCTGGTGCAACTATCTACTTAAGTTTTGCATGGCTCCCCCCAAATTACAAAAGCGATTTCAAATAATAGGAAACTCCTTCTGGGTCACAGTTGGTTGGGGCACTCTCAGAGAGCACTGCACTGGTGTTAACAAGCCAAAAGAGAGCCAGCTGATGTTCCTGCACCTGTGACACAGCTGATCCTCACCTCAGCTAAGACTATGTCCTGGAAATCAGAAGTTGACTGTACTGTAATGTTATTCAGCTTGACAACAGTGAACTAAAAACTGCTGACAGTAAGTCCCCACAAAAAATGTATTCCCACTGAAATGTTTTCTAACATCTAGAAAGGAGTATTGCTTATTATGGAAAGAGCATTCGCCTAAAATTCTTCAAGCTGTGCTTAAGGGTCTTGTCCACTAGAACACAATACCTGGCTAATTATTGCTGCATTTCACATCAGTATACACAAAGGAACACAAAGCACAGACACATATAGATTATCAAGACAAACAGAGCTTCCTCATCCAGAGAGTTAAGACTCAGATTCAAAGGAGGCTTCAGAGGAGTGATAAAATTTTAGCTGTAATGCTAGGTTAAGTATTTTAATGCTTGGGGATTTTTAACGTTTGTTTCTTAGACATAAAAACATAGTAAAGTTTTGCATTTGTATAAATAGATGGAAATTACAGAACATGAATTCAACATAGGTCATTTTAGGTCAACTTAGAAACATCATTAAACCCTGATGTAAACTGTCTGAATTATTTACTTGGTGGTGGTACTTCGCATGTCAGTAGCGGATTCCTAGTATCTCTTTAGAGACTAACACACACAAGACTGCCACCACGATTACGCTAGTTGCTAAAGCTTTTACATCACTGCGACGGAAGGTCATTTAATATTAAGAGATTTTTCTCGCAGGATTATCAACTTCATTTTCTTTCACAGAAGTTTTTAACAACTTGCTGCAACCTGCTTGCATGATGAACATCTAAATTACAAATGCATAGACTGGCTTTAAAGGGAAAAAAAAAAGTCCTAAAAGTTAATGATAAAACTCAAGCCTTAAATGAGCATTAAATGGATCTCCTACAAAGCATCAAAGATCGCAAGTAACCATTTATCATCATGTTGCAACATCTCATGTACAACAACACATACCTAAAAGCTAGAGGTTTGATTATTTTCAGTATTACATTTTCCCCAAGAAATCTGTTACCAGTACTTGATCTTTAAAGAACATGCAACAGGATAGGCAACTGTAAGCAATTATTTCTGTAGGAAGAAAAATAGGGGGAAAACTGTCTAAAGTAATAGTTATGAGAGCATTGCAACCAAGCACCAAAATATCTGTCAAGCTTGTATACAGGATGAAAACATTTAATTTCAATATTATTAGAGTTCATACATAAAAAGTCAAAAAAGCACTACAATTCTGCAAACTTTCTGTCATACATTTTCCATCCAAGCTAAATATACTAACCTGAGCTCTTTTTTCTCTAAGTTCCTGCTGCTGTAACCTTCTTTTTTCACGTTTTTCTTGCAATTTTTCAACTTCTTTTACACAATTAGATTTTCTACGCGCTTAAAGAAAACAATATAATTAAAATTTCTTTACACTGTAACATTTCAATTAGATTAATTTATCTTTGGAATGCATTTATATCAACTATCTTTTCAAGCAAATCACACAATATATAATAATTATGGCAATCATTATCATACATAATTATGGCAATTTAATTTATAAAATTCATAAAGTTAATTAGAAAAAAATAATGGGAAAGGTACAGTAAGTACACAACCAAAAATGTAAGGACAATGACTATCAAAAAAATAATTGCACAGTTACATGTGATTTCATGGTTTGAATTAAAAGAAAGCCCAAGCAAACAAAAAAAAAAAGAAAACTGTCACGGTTAAAACAAGATAAAGGAAAACCAAATTCCAAATACTAGTACATCTATGACAAAAATGAATATTTGTTTAGCCACAGCTCTCTGAAAAAGCTCCTCAGGGAACCCAGAGACAACTGCGCTTGTGGACTGCTTGTCATCTTTTATGGATGACAATGTAATCCACAAGAATGTACACATAATGCCCAGAATGAATGAATCCGTGATACACGGTTTACATACAAGGGGGTCCAAATTCCTTTTTTGCAGCTTGAACTGGAGATATATCTGAAACACTACCATTCTGTTGAGAGGAGAAAGACTGATCGGGAAGCTGAGAAGGTCTTGCACGTGCAGAACCAGACACTGCAACAAAAAAGCATAAAGCTTACCTGGACAAGGAAGAGTAACATTTCTATCTGATTCTGAAAAGCTTTGTTATGGCAAGATAAAACAAGACCCCTTTCCAAATATTTAGAACGTCTATTAATAAAGATATTTGGCATGCAGGCTTTTTTATCCTAGTGTTATACACCAACACAAGATAATTATTAAGCAACAATGCTGCATGTGCACATTTTTAAATACTCCACTGCAGGATTAGTACAACTTACTATGTGTTTAGATCGAAGCATGTACTTGGGAGACATTCAGTCCTGAAGTTTAAAGTGCTGGAATTCTCTTTATATTGTGATTATATGAAAAAAGTTAGTAAGAAAAGAAGCCCCACTGTTCCACATTCTCTAGAGCTCCAAATGATTCCACCCCATTGACCCTATGATCTCTGGAGAAGCAAAATGATACAAATGAAAGGCAGCAAAGTACAGCTCAATCTGCGAGTGGATGGAAGAAAGAAAAAAAAAAAAAGCTTTTTGACACTGTACTGGAAGGGATACAGATACAATCAGTATATCCAAATTTAGGCATTGATTCTATATGTGCCAAGGATGTCAGTTTCTGAAGATGCACTGTTGTCTGTTCTCAGTGAATGCAGTGGGAGTGGTAAGCATGCAAGACACTTTGGTAGAGCTAAGGGCTTTAAACTGTTTTTCAAAGATTTACTTCAAGCAGCTCTGCTTCAGCTGGCCCGTTTCCTGCACATGCTCCTAATAGAGCCTGACAGAAGAATACAGAAGGTATCTACGATTAGCAGCCAGAGATGGCACTGTGTACAAATGCCAGCCCACTGTGCATCATGGCAACAACTGTGGAAACAGGTATTGCATGGGACAGACAAGACAAATGCCCAGACCATTCCAAATATGATAGCAGATCTAGTTTATAGCACAAACTGACTACACAAAATAAGACGGTGTGCTGAGAAAAACTTTAATCACAAGGACAACAAAAGACAAATATGTAGGCTGAACAGTAAGATGCACAGGACCTATTAAAAGGACCTATTAAAAAGTTACAGCACTATCCCGTACTAAATAGACCATTTGCTACAAACAAAACATATGTGAGGACAGCCCATCAGTAAGATGGCTCAAATTTAAACCACATCAGTTTGAAAAAAGTTATCCGCTCCTTAAGAGATTTCCAATTTGCTTAACAACCCCAGAGGCAAACAAAGAAGGATGAAAGTGGTCCCAATCATCCACCAAAAGAGTCTGAATACTTGCCAAGATATGCAAGCCGATTTGTTTTTCAAGTTTAAACAGATGGACTAGAATCTAGTCTGAATCAATGACAGTAGATTAATTTGGAAGAAGAATCACCACCATTATCAATACAAATTAGCTAATTCTAACACAGAGAAAATGAAAATAATAAACAGTAACTATTATTCCTCATGTTGTAGATTCACTACATCTGTATTAATCCAATATATTCTTTTCACCTATCCTCCTGTTGTATTTCAGCAATTTTTTGTAGATTTTTCACAATCAGCTTAGAGTGAAAAATAACCCCCAGAGTTTAAGTACTCTTTGAATGAATGTATACACATGCACCCACAGACTGTTTCAAAACTAAGTTAAAAAATTGAAAGTGAAAGAATTTTAAATGTATTACTTAAAATATATTGAAATGCTCAATTATAGTGAAGCAAAATTGAGGGTGCTTTAACTTGGAAAAAGCCACACAGGCTTTAACGTAGCATAATTAACTTAAAATTTTTGCACCTTCAGTTCATTCAGCTTAACTTTCCTAATGCTACATTGCTTGCACATAAATACTAGTTGTACAGCATAAATTTCTAAGTACGCATAGGAATTGTAGGAACTATGTACCCTGTCTTATTTGTCACATGCATACATGCCGAATGACAAATACAGAACTATTAAGGAGTGCTAAATGAGCAGGAGGTTAAAATATTCCCACATTTTTTACTTCCTTGAGAGAGGTAACATTTACCTCTGTTATCTCTGACGGGGTTGTCATTTTTAATAGGCACCACAGTTCGACGAGTCTATAAAGAAAGAAATATGTTACTCAATCACCATCTTACTGAAAATGTAAATTGCAGCCCCACCTCTGCTTCTTTCCAGTGAATGAAAATAACACGACATCAGCAATAGAAAGAAGTGATTGCTGCCAAATCCCTCCACGAAAGTCTAGGGTGAAAACTACTTGAACTATATACTCTGTTTCAATACAACCTCCCTAAACCTTTTTTCCTTGAGATATATTAAGTTATATAAATATTAGTTCCCCAGTTCCTCTCCACCAAACCTATTACTAAAAAAATTTTATAAACCCCTATTCATCATAGGAAAAGATACATGGTTATCAAATAGCTTCACAGACACAAAAGTTGAAGTTAAAAACTCTAACATAACAACATGTATAGGAATACTACAAGTTTAACATGAACATGTTGCATTGATATTACCAACCTTCAGGATTTTGTTTACTTTGGCTGATGGAGCAGGTGGTGGTAGTGACTCTGGACCAGGTTCAATATCTTCATCAGGTGCAAGATCTGGATTAAGTGAACATATACTCTCCAAGTCAATCTGGGTAAAAGAATATAAAACACATTAATGAATCTTAAAACAATATTCACCGTCTTCATTTCCCCTGCTACATTTGAGAATAAACATTAAATGTATTTAGCAATTTTTACCCCACAATTTGTTAATTATACAACCTGAATTATCTTGTTTTATGTTCACTAAAAACAGTGTAACCTTTGGTCTTTGTATTGAAAACACACCCTTCAAGAAAGATATGAACTAAAAATGACAAGGAGATACTTATAATTTTGCAAACTGATTAAACTAAAACAAAAGTAGACAGTATAACTGTCGTAATTTGACAGTTACCACAAAAGACAAAAGATACTTGGTAACACAAAGATATCTCAATTCTTTGAAATTTCCCTGGCAGTGAAAAATAAGCAGATAAATTACAACCACCCAGGAAATATAAGCACAGTTGAAACCATGTTAAATTTTTCACGTTTTGGGTTTTGGTTTGTGGATTTTTTGTTTTTCAATTTTTTGTGGTGTGGTGTTTCAGGGGAGAGTGTGTTTTTTCCCTTCAGTTCCTCATTCATTTCAGTTTCTCGTTTTTCTTTCAATTTCTCATTCAAAATACTGTACAATGTATGGAGGGAAAGGCAGGATCTTAAAAATAGCTGGCTTCAGAATCTACTGAAACTTGGTTTTCTAAAAATCTGAAGTAGCTTTAGTGTCTATAGACTGTCACTTCCCCTGACTGGACCTTTCAAAAACTTCACTACTGTACATTCTCTGTGTCCAGAGGGCCAAGCTCTGCTGATGAGACCACCAGGACCGTCTCACACTTCTTTTCCTCCTTCCTGTGTTTTCACAAAACTGGTGAAGAGCAATTATTTCCAAGATGCTTCACCAAATCTCAGCTGAAATTGGCTAACATGGTCCAAAATTTAAAGGAAGAGGGAATACAAAGACGTTACACACAAAGATACAGTTTCTCAAGGAAAGCAAGGCTGGAAAATTATTGCCAAAACTACATACATTGTAAACAAACTAGCAGTTAAGTTCCTCAATAATACTAAACAAAAAAGAAAATCTTTCTAATCTAGCTTTTACACCAGTTTCCTGTCCAAACTCAAGTCACTTCTCTCAAAAATTTGATTTTTCTACTTGTAAGAAGAGGATAATGAGGTCAGCCTTTGTTAATCAGATGAAAATAACTACTTAAAAGCTATGACATAGCTCAGGAAGTCAAATTCCATACAAAAGAAACCAGCATTTGCCCAGCAGCTTCCATGCAGAAAAGTCTGTAAACAAAGAATCAAGACTTATACCTTCTTTTTGTTTCCACTACAAATTCCAAAGCAATATTTGTGTAGACTACATATTTTTAGAAAGAGAAAAGTTCCAAAACAATTAAGTTTACCTCTTTGCCTTTAGTATCTCCATTTTCAATCCATTCAACAGTTACACTTTCATTTTCTTCATTTAGAGATGTCACCATAGCTTGGTGGATTCGGCCTAGAAAGCAAACACAAATGATCACTTACTAAGTGGTGGGAAAGCTTTCCACAAATTATATTCATCCCTGCACCAAGACATGCAGAGAGAGGCAGGAAGAAGAGGGTTAAAAAGACTTAGGTGATAAAACACAAAATGATTCCTGGCCACACACTGTGGAATGGCTCAGACCAGATCCATCAGTGGAGAAACTAACAGTCAGCGTACTAGTGAAAAACAAAATGAATAGAAAACTAAATGGTAAGTAAACAAAATACCACATGAAAGCTGTATCACTTAGACTTTCTTTTCATGAGAGAAAAAAATCCAACACCATGAGTCTCCCACAGGCCGAAAGTCTCCCAAGGTTATGTTCCACATCAGCTTGTCTGTCCCCCTTCTAGGCTGATACAACACTGTATGTCCCAATACAGGAGTGAAGCTTACTGAAATTGTACTCTGACATCCATTTCTTATGGGCATCCAAACACTTGGTAACTTAACTATAATTAAACTGACATCAACTACAGTACAAATCCTCATTTTAAAACCAGCTGCTTACACAGACTGCTGAGCTGGAATTAAGGTGTCACTGCTTTGGCTCAGAATCATAGAATAATTAGGGTTGGAAAGGACCTTAAGATCATCTAGTTCAAAACCCCCTGCCATGGGCAGGGACATCTCACACTAAACCATCTCACCCAAGGCTCTCACCAAACTGGCCCTGAACACCGCCAGGGATGGAGCATTCACAATTTTCCTGAGTAACCCATTCCAGTGCCTCATTACCCTCACAGTAAAGAACTTCTTCCTTATATCCAATCTAAACCACCCCTGTTTAAGTTTTAACCCATTACCCCTTGTCCTACCACTACAGTCCCTAATGAAGAGTCCATCCACAGCATCCCTATTCATCTCCAGTCAAAGACCCAGCAAGCTCCCATAAAGGACAATAAAACCAACAGGAGTAAGGATTCGTCTTAAATACTGAGTGTACAGCAATTTTATGTCCTACTTGCTAAGCACAGTGGCAAGGAGCAATTGGAAGAGCAGAACAATCATGCACTGACACAAAAGGATCAGGACCCCGGTGTCACATTGATTTCACATCTTTGCTTTGCTCTAAGATTACCAAGAACTGGGGTTTCTAAAGAAAACGGGCCAAATGCAACTGCTCCTCTAACGTCCTCCTTTAATGAGCCATAGCACAGACAAGCAATCCCTCACTCCATACACCCGAAGCCAACCCCCGCATGCCCAAGACCATGTACAGCTCTCATTCTGGAGCAGTCCGTGCATGTTCTGCTGCTGCTGCCCAGCACCCACTGCCACGTAACAACAGCATGGTCCCTACCCATCTGCTCCGGCCTGCATCTCTTCTGCCTTGCACCTTCTATTGTCCTTCCCTAAAGCTCCCAGAACTCCAGAGCCACTCTGATGATAGTTTCAAATTTTTGGTTTAGCCATTTGTCCCGGGTTCAGCAGTAGCAGTCATTTTTCTCCTTCTTGGTAGCTGGTGCAGTGCAGTGTTTTGACTTTCGGCTCGGGAACAGAGCTGATAACAATGATGTTTTGGTTTGGCCAAGGACTTTGTGAGTCTCATGCTCTGCCAGGGAGGAGGGGAAGCCAGGAGGAAGCAGAGACAGGACACCTGACCCAAACTGACCAAAGAGGTATTCCATACCACAGCACGTCATGCCCAGGAGGTAACTGGGAGTTAGCCGGAAGGGCTGGGGGACTGCGGGGTTGGAGGAGGTATCGGTCGGTGCTTGGTCGGACTGGGGGGTGAGTTATCGGTTGACTGGAGGTGAGGTGTTGTATTCTCTTCCCTTGTTATTTCCTTTATCATTGTTATTACTGGTGGTAGCAGTAGTGATTTGTGTTATACCTTAGTTACTAAACTGTTCTTATCTCAGCCTGTGGGAGTTGCATTCTTTTCGATTCTCCTTTCCGTCCCTCCGGGAGCAGGGGGAGGAAAAGAAGTGGGGGAAAGTGAGTAAACAAATTGCCTGACTGGGTTTAAACCACGACACCATTTCAGTCAGAATTTAATAGGTTTTTTACAGTTAATGTTTTTATATAGTCTAAGCCTCTTAGGACCTGCAGAGGGACAGAATGGAAGAAAAGCTTTGCCCGATACCCTGAATTACAGTTTAAACCCAACCAGTTCTCTCTCTGTTCCCTCTCAGCTTCTTGTGCCCCTCCTCACTGGCAGAGCATGAGAGACTGAAAACTTACTTAGAATAAAGTGCTACTGAGCAACAAACATTGGTATGTTATCAGCACTGTTTTCACACTAAATCCAAACACAACACTGCACCAGCTACTAGGAAGAAAATTAACTCTATGCCAGTCAAAAACAGGACACCCACCTAACAGCACAAGTAACAAATGTATACTGTTAATATTTATTTTATTGCAAAGGCTTCCTAAACATTCACACCTAGTTAAAAATTAAGCAAGAAGAGTGACTACGGGGAAGCATCATGGAAGGTAACAGCAAATCTGTGTACTTTAATACAATGGGCAGAGGAAGAGACTAACTGAAATTCATGCAAGGCATAGCACCAAGGGGGTTCACAGAGCAGCCGGCCTCCATGAGCAGTACTGCTTTCTCATCTGCAGTGCACACCTTACCAGCAAGGTATATTACACATGTATTTACAGCCTCTGTGCTTGTCCTTGCCCAAAGCATAACATTCACTCCACCACTAAAGAAGGTTAAGTGAGTTTTTTACCTAGAAGAAGCCTCTCTCTTTGCTTCACTTGGCTCCCTTCCCCCAGCATTCACTCGTTTTTATTTCCATGACCCATGCTTTGTCTTATAAAGGACTTCCATTTGTGCTTCCTGAGCACCATTCTGCCGGTGCCCCAGCTATGTGTGCTGCAGGGACCGTCTGTCCTGCATTCCCCACCAAGGCGCTGCCAGATATGCAGACAGGGACCACCACCATGCACAGGCACTCCTCCCTTTCCCCTCACTCAAAGGAGGTTGTACAGGCATGCATCCTGCCCTCAGGACTCTGCCTGAATTCTGCTGGTGGCTGGGCCAAAGCAGCTTCACTAAGCACGATGCTCTCTCACCTTATTTTCTTAGATGAGCATTTCTGAGCAAGTTTTCTTTGTGTAAGGTCCTCAGCACCTTTCCACCAATTTCTCTGCATTTAATAACCTCTTTTGTACAAGAACACGCTGTTGTAGAGCTCTTTCAATTAGCTATCTGGTTCATCAGCAAAGTAGCAACAGAAGCTACTATCTTCCTGTAGCAATGCCGCCTTGCCACTCCCACAAAGAGCATGCTGATAACACATAAGGAGGACAGCAATGTGTTATTACCATTGTTTGCAGACTAAAACATAGCACTGCACCAGCTGCTAGGAAGAAAATTAACTCTATCCAAGCCATATAGGGACACAAAAACTGTGAGAACTGGAAGACACTTGATTGGTATAATGTGTTTTAAGGCTTGATCCAGCCATCAATCCAGAATCAAGAGAAATATATTAAAAATGCAAGTTTAGCTAAATACATTCTATACAATGATAATAAGCTACAGTATGTTACCAAATCTTATAAATTTTGAGGAAAAGCACTATTCACAGTTGAGGTGTGTGACGCTGTATTAGTCATGCAGCCATCATGTAAGTCCTATTACCTTTTCGTGTGCTCTATTACTTTTGACATAGAATGAATAACAATAATAATTTAAAAAGGTTATATCTTTGCCCTAACAAGGGAAAAAAAAGATGAAAGCAGGCTGATGAATGAACAGAAAATACTGAACTCTCTCACAAACACAGTAAGCCAGCATGCTGTAACAAAAGAATCACAATAAATCTACCATCTCAGTGCCAGATTTCATCCATTCCCTGGACAAGAAAAATCAGAACCGAATAAAAAAAAAAAATGAAAAAAAACACAAGAAAAAGTTATGTCCATCTTTCAAATATTCTCAAAATGTCCTCAGCTTAAACAGAAAATGTACACTATAATGTTTAAACTGGCAATCTACCCATAATTTTTTTTTCCTAAAAATTCTTTTGTGTTACTGAAAGTTACATGTTATTGATGTGCCAGAAAGCACATTTACATCTTTACAATTGCCTCTTGCTCTCTGCAAACAGTATTCCATTATATTTTTCTAGTACACAGCTGAATACAGCAGCTGGGAAATTCAGGAATGCCAGCAACCAATTAGGCTGGCATAAACCTCGTCTAGCATATAAAGCAAGACCAAGCTGCAAATACTAAAGCATAAGAGCCAAATCAATGTGCACAGAATGGTTGAAGGTAACACCCCTGATTTCTGGTGCATTTTCTAGAGTCAGCACCAAAATATGAAATGTAAACATGCCTATGTAAACACAAACATGCATTAGGACAAAGAGAAAAAGGAACAAGTGGTTCAGAAAGACTACCTTCATGCACACATCAAAAACAAAATAAGAAAGTAGAGTCATAGTGCTAAGATGCTGACTCTTGGCATTTCTTTAATTTCAAGTGCCTTTCCTCACACACTTAGAATTCACATCACAGGCAAAACCTTTTCTGGGAAGTCACTCCATTGCTATACAGTTCAAAACTAAGGGAGAAGTTATTTGAAAAGGTTATTACTTGTGTGAATATGTTCTGTCATACAGTGCGTGGCATCTGGCTTATCTCCTACTGACCAGAGAATGCAGAAAATATTTCTGCAAATACAGCAATGCAACACTAAAGTATGTGAAGCCAATACTTTACAATTACCTAAAATACATGCAAGTTACAAAATTCTTCCCCTAATCAATACAAGTGAAGAACATCAATTCTCCATTCCGTCCCTTCCTAGTCATCTGATGAATATGTGACAAACAGAAGAAAGCAAGCATAAACATCTGCAGAAATATCAGATAAGTCTCCTCTATTGTAAGAGTTCTCAGGATAGTCATTCGTGCAGAAAAAGGTTCAGGAAGTACCAGCAAAAGCAACCAACCAGGACTAAATCAAACATTTTAACTAACCATCAACAAAGGTAGCACTGC